AAAAGAAAACCAAAAGAATCAAAAAAACCAAAGAAACCAAAAAAAACATTTATAAAAGAATCTTTTGACGAAAATTCCTAGAGAATGAGATCTATTGGCTTTATTTTCCATTCTTTTGATTTTGATTCCTTCTAGACCTGAACCCTCAATTATGAATCGTTCGCCCCTCGCCTCTGGAACATGTCCCTATGCACGTCCGACTCGACGTCGCGTATTTGATAATATATATAAAATGCTAAAATATAGGGGCTACGTTCATATCTCGAGTCCCGAGACTATTTCAAAATCAAATAAAGATAATAAGATATTCTCTTCATCTTTATTGATCGATTCATTCTATTCTAAATATTAAATAAAAGGCATAAAATTTTCTATTTGATTTATATTTATTCTGCATAATTAATTTCTAGAATTTCGATTAAGAATATGATTAAAAGATATTGAAAAATTTGAAAAATTTATTTTCTTATAATAGAGCATAAAATTTGAGCTAATTGAATATAATAAGACGAAAAGATTTTTTATATTTTCAAGATTGAGAATTTATTTCGGAATAGATTTTCTATTAATTGGGATATAGATGATAATTCAAATATTTCAAGTATTTTCTTGCTTCTGAACATGATAACAATAGTGAGAATAATTGATTTTATGATATTTCATAATATTCTTTTATATTCTCTTATAATTCGATATATTGAGTTTGAATATAGAATAAATCATAAAATATCTTATAGAAATTATCCTTATAGAAGATCGTCTATATAATATACCTTTTGTAATTATTTCTCAACTAAACCTCAAAAAATATCCACTAGAATACCGTTTAAGATACCGTTTATAACAGTTTAAAGGTTACCCTATAGATCACGGTTTTAAAAAGGATCATCAGGAGGAGTGCCCCGTTTAATCGCGTAGCATACAAAGGACAGTGGACAATACTTCGCGGTATTGTCTTGGTTCGTCGAACGATGTTGTGTCGTCGTAGACAGGGAAGATTATCTAATATAGCGCTTTTGTTCGGAGTGGAGTCGTAATATCGTCTAAATGAAATAAGAAGAGGCTTCGAGGTGTAGGTCCTGGGGGATAGCATATATATATATATATCTATATTATATGAATATATATATATATATTTCCCTAAATAGTGCTTGCATTTGGGGGTTCTTACCATTCGGAATAAAGGGAATTGGTTGCGAGCCGCAACGGCACACGCGGCGGTGGGGCGCGACCTTCGTTTCGACGCTGCCGCTGCGGTTTCGCGTGCATTCGCTTGCGTTTCGACGCTCCCGCTGTGGTTTCGCGCGACTTCCCTTGAGTTTCGATGCTCCCGTCGTGGTTTCGCACCAAATTCCTTGCGTTTCGACGCTCCCGCTGTGGTATCGTGCGAATTCCGGCCTCCTCTGATTTTCTCTGGCCTCTTTTGTGGGCCCATTGAGGTTGCGGGCCACAACGGCGCACGCGGTGGGGCGCGACCTTCATTTCGACGCTCCGGGTTTCGGACGCTCCCGCTGTGGTTTCGTGCGACTTCCCTTGTATTTCGATGCTTCCGCCGTGGTTTCGCACGAATTCGCTTGTAATTCGACGCTCCCGCTGTGGTTTCACGCGAATTCCGGCCTCCTCTGGCCTCTTTGCCCCTTTTGCAGAGCCCGCTTAGGTTGCGGGCCGCAACCGCAACGGCGCACGCGGTGGGGTGGGGCCTTCGTTTCGACGCTCCCGTTGTGGTTCGACACTCCCGCTATAGTTTCGTGTGAATTCCCTTGTGTTTCGACGCTCCGGCTGGGGATTCGCGCGCCTTCCCTGTGTGTCGACGCTCCTATTGTGGCTTCGCGCGAATTCCAGCCTCTTCTGGCCTTCTCTAGCCTCTTCTGGGGGGCCCGCTTAGGTTGCGGGCCGCAACGGCGCACGCGGCGAGCAAAGCCCTTCATTTCGACATTCTCGTTGTGGTTTCGCACGACTTTTCTTGTATTTCGATATTGTCGCCGTGATTTCGCACGAATTCCCCTGCATTTCGACGCTCCCGTTGTGGTTTCGTGCGAATTCCGACCTCGTCTGGTCTGCTCTGGCCTCTTCCGGGGGGGTTGCGGCTCGCAAGGGCGCACGTGGAGGGCCCTCGCATTGCGGTTTCGCGCGAATTCCGTTGCGTTTGGACGCTCCTGGTATGGTTTCCTACGAATTCTAATTTCCTCTGGTCTATTCTAGCCTCTTCTAGTCTTTATAGATATCCCATAATCAAAGAAAAATTGGGGAAGTCATTGAATATCTAAAATTTATATTTCTTCGATTCTCCCAGAAAAAATTCGAAAATATCATTTATTAAATTTTCTGAGCTTTGAGCTCTGAATCCTACGAGCCTTAATTCGTGCGGCGAATTCTCTTCTAGTCTTTTTAATTTCTTCGGACTCTCCTTATTATTTGAGATCTATGCCGGCACAATTATATATTTATTTAATATTAGAAAAATTCCAAATTTATTCTATATATTCATTATATTTTATTATATTTAGAAAGCAGAATTTAAAATCAGATTCAAAATATATTATAACGACCATTTAAAGATTTATTTATATAAATACTATTTTCAAGCAAAATATCCTAAATATATCTATACTATTTATTTATTCTTATAATTTAGATATTAATTCTATTATTTCATATATAAGACTAATCTTATAATCTATTTTTGTCGATTTAGCTTTCAATAGAAATATTAATTTTCATAATCATATTATCCTAGGATCTAATTAAATATATCATATATTATCTTCTTCTAATTCTTTTATTTATAATTATCTTTCTTAATATTTTCTGATTATCTATTTAGATTATTTCTATTTAAGAAGAATGAAATTAATCTATTCAGCACTCACAACTGGGACAAGCCTGGCGAGGTTTCGGGTAAATCGACGATGGCACATTGGCCAAGGGGCAGGTATATTCACCACACCCCAAACTCACTCACAGCTCACAGTCTAATTAAATCATCCCAATACAACTCGTCCATCACACGACCTCCTTCCGACCTTCACGATCCTCATGCTGGCTTCCTATCCAGATCCTCCACTGCTCATTGCCCTCGCTGAAGCATGCACATGCATCAAAGATCCTGACGCATGGCATGTCTCAGCACAAGCATCATCCTTCGGTCAGGTGTCTCCCTTTGTCAAGCAAGGGCCATACTGCTCTTGTACTCCCGTCTCCAGCATCAAATTCAGTCATCGCATGCAGTGTAAACGTTATTATGCGTTCACCAGCAAAAACATGCAACAGATCTCCAGATACATCGCGTTCCTAACTGCCAAGGTAGCGCCAGACTGTCTGTAAATGTACGTCATTCAGTACATGCAACAAATTCCCACTCTTCCAGGCATTGCATACAATAAGCGCATGCAACAAATTCTTTCTCTTCCAGGCATTGCATGCAGTACATTCCCACTCATACGCAACCTCATGCAGGGGCCTCCAACAACATGTCCAAGCTTCTCATCTGTTGTCTTCCGTGCCATGCGTGCCCACTCAGCTTCACGTTCAGTGCGTTCATATGCCCCAAGGTGCATCGCAGTCACAGTCCCTGTTTGTTGTAGCGACGCTCACGTCGCCTGTAGATGCTTCGTGCGTCACACATAACAACGTCTTCTTTGCAGAAATTCATGACAGGTCCCACTGCTCAGGGTGCCTTTATATATCATCGTGGTATCTCGCCCTCTCGCTTGAAAGTATCGTCTTCGCCTTATGCAGAAGGCTTCGCAACCACATCCAAGTTCCCAGAGACTCAGAGCGCTTTTGTACATCGTGATGGCACTCGGACACCATCGCCCACAGTCAGTATCAGCGCTTTTTGCAGAAGGCCTTCAATGAGTCCAAATTTCCTATAAAGGCGCTTTTATATGTCGCTATGGCACTCCATCGCCGTCGGCTACAGTCCATAGCCACGCCTTTTGCAAAAGGCTTTGCACTCAGCTCAATCTACGGGTTAGTGATTTCTATAACCGGAGCTCGGAAGCCTATCGGAGGCGAGACGACGGCACGACATTTTGGTCCATTTGAATGGGGGGCACCCCGGGTCCTGTGTCGGGCTGTACTTCCAATTTTAAAGGTGTTACAAGGGGTAAGGAGATAAGCAGTTCATTAACTAGAAATATCTCGCAAATTCAGAAAATCCTTAATAAATCTTTATCAAATTAGAAATCGATTCATCTATAAATATAATTATTAAAATCAATATATAATAGATATAAATATAAAAATTATAGATCAGAATATAGAAATTAAAATCCGAAATGACCTTCAATTCCGCGAATTTTCCACCCAACCAAGCAGCCCTATACCCCGAAGGCCCTGCGTAACCCCCGAGCCCCGGAATATTTCCAAACGAACCCATCTTATATCGCGACTAAGCCATACCTATATTCATATCAAAAAGACAAGGAGAGAGATATATATTTTTTTATGGAGACTGAGGCTTCTATTTTATATCTCCAAAATTTCTTTATAAAAGATATCCAAAATATCCAGATTTCTTCTATATTGATTCTAGAGAGAAATTCAAAAGATTGAATTTCCAAATGGGATCGGTATAATTATGTCGTTATTTTGATATTTCCTCAATAAAGGTAATTCGGATCATGGCCTCTTTTGCATTCATATTCAGGCTCATGCAGTAAAGTTCTTCTTTGTATATCTGAAGATGGATGCAGCCGGACTTGTTCCATGGCAAATGTCGTAGAAGTCGCCAATATATGGGTGGGAGCATCTTGGAAGCCGGATAGCATGCCGTCCCAGCAATCATGACGTGTCCCATGCAGATACATTGCCTGTTCTTGAACTGCAGCGCAAGGACCAACACGGCAGCACGAAGGTCCGATCGATGATGAATCTCCACAAAGAGCACTGGCTCGGCACGTGACGACCACGTCGATGTTGGCGATCTGCAATCCACCGTATCGTCGGGCCCAATAATGAAGCCCAGTCCGCAGAAACGACTGCAATGACTGCAAGCCTCAAAGACGGCGCACCTCACACAAATTCTTGATACCTGTTCGCACTTTGGCACGAAAATTCTCCGCCATAAGTATCCGACTGCAATCTTGTGGGTCACATCCCAGTGTGCCGGCCTGGAAACATCAAAAAACTACGCCTGAAAACATGACACAGCAATCACCTGTTCAAAGCGACTCAGTCATCGAACTCCTCTGCCAGCTCAGAAAATCCACAGAGATCGCGGCAAGAACTCCGGACGCATGACTTGGACCTGAAATTTCCCACGGATCACTGGAAGATTCCCACACGTGTTTTCGTTCTCAAAGGAATCTCTGCCCGCAGCAAAATGTGCTCTGCATCTGCAAACCAGGTCGCTCAAGTCACCTCAGGACACACCAGCCTATGCAAAGCAAAACCGTGACTATTTAGCTTCAAGCCAGCCACGCTTTGAGTCCATCCACGCCTCGACAGTCCTTCGCCCAACCTCGACGGAATGCTCACAAGGAGGCATATGTTACAATTTTGACACCGAAGCCTCTCCTGTCAAAGAGTTAGATGAAGCCGCTGATGATTGAGAAAAGATGATTTGCTTTCCGACTGCGAAGGGCATCGTAGCTACAGGGGCAATGCGCGTTTGTCAGGAGATTTCTCCGGATCGCATGTCACAGGTCAAGAAGACAAAAGTCAAGTTGTGGTCATCCCAAATCACTACCCGTGATGACCTCCGTCTCCTGCTGGTTCCTGCAGCGAGCCCCTGGGGGTCGACCTTCGAGGAAGCGTCGTTCCACGAAAGCTCAAGTGAGCTAAAGCACCCACTGAAGCCTGGCTCGCTCCAATTGGATGCGCGCCAAAGGACCTTCACCATTTGCGGCTCTTGGCAAGTTTGTTCTGTTGCAGCTTCTATGCAATGGCTCATGGTGACAGAAAGGGTGCGCCAGAAAAAGCGAACATCAGAATCATCAGGCCATCCACTCACTCACTCACTCACACATTGAATTGTTTGCAATGACTACAGAAACTGGGGCACGTCCCTGTCTGCACCAGCACCCTTTGTTCTGTTTCTGGTCGTCTTGTCGTCAGCCTCAAACTTGCTACGTGTACCCCAGCCACCTACATGCATACACATGTGCGTGTGTGCACGTGCTTGTTGGCATGCATCTGCACTGCCACACAATCAACATCAAGCAACAGCTTGCAGAAGTATATGAATGTATAAGTCGTACACATCGATCGAGTGATAAATGTTACTTACTGCTACTTGGTGGTGGTGGAGGTGGTGGTTTCCCACCTACGATATGGAAGCGTTGGCCCGATTGTTTCGGTGCCTGGCTGCTACACTTGGCCGCACAAGGCACCATCAGCTGGTCAAGATGTTCACACTTTACTTCGGCTTCTCCAAGTGAAGACGTGTTTGAGGGCCCAGCTGGTTCGCATAATCGATACCACAAAAGCCCAGGCCGTGCGAGATTGCCCGAGTAGTTGTAATGTTGGCAGGTTGGAACATACCGCAATAGATTGACGTTGACGACTTCGTATCGCATTAGCAGAAGTACGGCTGGGAGGAGGGTTCATCCTTTCTCTCTCTGCCGTGCCATCCTTGCTCGCGTCCTTCTTTCAGAGACATTCCCTCCTCCGTCCTCCCTCACTCCGCCCTTCCGAGCGAAATGGTGACCATGGATTTTGTCGTTCGGTTAGGTTGGCGGTGGAAGGTATGCAGGCGATCGGCAAAAGTTGTCTCTTGGAGCCCGTGCTGGTGGTCCGTTGCAACCACTACCACAAGCAAGCTCCGGCCTTCGTGGCTCCAGGCCACCGCCCTTCAAGTCTGGTGATCAGCGTCGGTGCCTCGGCGCAACTTCCAACAACTGGGGTGAAGCGAGTCAGTCCAGCTCACCATCTGACACGTTTCCAGCTTGGAACCGGTTTGGCAAGCCTTCTGCTGGAACGCCCTCTCGTAGCAAGAGAAGCCGACATCTGCAGCGACCTGTAACAATTGCATCTGCTTTGACAAAGACTGGTCTGACCCAACGCCTCTGGTTCGAGGCATGACAAGTCGTCGCCGAGTTCCTGGTATCCACAGCAGCACAGCTACGACAATTCGATTGGGAATTTCTCCGAGCGGACCCAGGCTTGCAAGATGCGCTGGAAGACCTGACTGAGTCCAAGGATGCGTGTCTGATGAAACTGCCCGGACGCATGCCGCTTTAGCAACCCGATGTCATGCCCTTCGCTGGCATCGTACGGGATGCTCGAGAAGCGGGACAAGGAGGCGGACCACTTCAGCACGCGGCCACGGGACGTTGTCACCACCTTTCAGGAGGCCTGATGCCTGCAGCAACAAGACGAGTAATCAAACATTTTCCGATTGCAGCTGCGGGGTCCCGGCACAAATGGCTGCTCGACGTCTGCACATACGAATGCTCATGATTTCGCTTGAGAAAGTGCCAGTTTCGCGACAAGCTGTTCCTGTTATGCATCCCGGCCTCGGATCGCTCTTGGTGGGGGTTGCTTTTGGCATTCCAACGTCCACCTCATTTTCCGGAGAATTCCCACATCTCCGCATGGGCGCCAGGTACTGCATGTTACTTTTGCTCCGTGCACAGCTTTTGCGAAGCCTAATGCATGCCCTGAGTCGTGAGACACACGGCCACCCCGTTCGACACTTGCCCTCAAAATCGTCTCTACTGGCCTACATCCCAGGCCAACTGCCTCCCTTGCGAGACTCTCTTTGATCTGCTGGCCGTGCTCTGTGGAGGCTTTGTGGTGACCTTGCAACTCTGCTGGGCCCAGATATGTTCCAAACATGCTGTCGGGGCCCTGACAAGGAACACAAAGCAGCAGAACATCATGTGATCCAGGCCTAACTTCGATGTTATTGTCAGCGCGGTGTCGTCAGTTCGTGCCACACAAGGAAACACCGAGGGTGCTGCTGATGCGACGTGGGCAGAAAGCTCCGAAAGCAGCTCGGCCTTGGTAAGCTTGTCGGAGGTAAAAGGAACCACACGGTGCGCATTCTCCAGAGGCCGGCCATCGCGCTAAGCCAAGGCCCAGACACGAGGTTGTATCTGGCTAAATGGACATCGCTGCCACAAACCACGCAGCGATTCTCCTTGGTGGACCTGCTCAAGCTTTGGCATTGTAGCGAACCACGTCCTGGAATTGTTGGCGTCCGGGCGTATAGAATCGCTCTCGCCTGGTGGCAGGGACTTCGTCGTGTAGTGTTTGCTTACATGTCAAGTTGTCAAACTTCGAAGCTGCGACCACATTTCAACTAAGGCTAACTAAGGAGTCGGCTGCTGCATGTGCTCGTCAGGGACATTCGCAGACGACCTAGAACATCAGACTCATGTCGTGTCTGGCTCTCTGAGCCTTGCCGCAGAGAACAACCTGAGACCTTGTGCTGTGCTTTCGTCCAGATTTCAGTACAGATATGAGCCGGTCGTCACAATGAAGCCTTTCTAAATCGCACGGTCGGTACTTTCTTGTCTTTTCTCGAAGAGCAAGCAGCAAAACAATCCGCAGCTGAAAGAGGTGGGGCACACACTCATGCCATACTCTGCCGACAGTGATGATACTCGACAACTGCAGGCTTTTGATGTTTGTTAGCCGTTCTGGCAGCGTTACATTTCGAATCTCACACTCGCACAAGGCCGACAAGGCTCCACATAGCGTCACATTTAAGAAACTGTATAAGTCGCGTCAGCTGAGCAGCTTGCCCCAGCTCTTTGCGAATGCCGAAGCGACCACGGGGCTCAAAGAGAAGCCGTATGCAGTCAGTCCTTGCGTGGCATCTTGCGGGCATGCAGGTAAATGAGTTTTGTGACTCAGAAAGTGAGGGCACATGTGGCAACGGTGAAAGTCACAGCCACGACGGCCGCCCAGGGGTCCCGGCTGGCCGTCCTCGAACCTCGGAAGAACGAGCAACCTCTTTCGATTCATCGTTAAGTCTCGAGAAAAGCCGGGATGTGCATGCCAGTCACCAGACGCACACAGTTAAGTAAGCACAATCATATTCAAGCCGCACCTCAAACCGTCGGCGAAATGATGATAACTGACGATGCACGCTGGACTCCATGAGGCGAGCACCGGGCAAGTCCGCGCCTCACCTAGAAAGTGCCAGGCAACAGTCTCAGGATGTCTCGGGCAGGCGTGGGTTTCCAGCCTTCCCTTCCACAGCTTTCAACATCAATATATCAGCTGCCCTCAGAACTCAGCACCCCACATACCAGTTCAGCTTCTTCTTGTCAACCGTGCACAGTATTTGGCCATCTGGGGCTAGAATCCTGCCAAGCATGCGTGTGCTGGGAGTGCTTGGGACAAAAAGTCAACCAGCTGTGGGACCGTACGCGGAACCATCAGGTTGGACTGTCGGATCTGCAAACCGATCCCAAGTCAACACAACTCAGCCAATTCCTCGACCTTAGCGCCTGCCACAAAGCTTTGAGGGAAAGAACTGCACCACATGCGCGGGCCTGCAATTCTCGTAGACGGGTCCTTTGGCAGCCACCCGCTGCACGAAGCTCAAGAACCTGTCTTGCATGGCCAAACTATAAGGAAAAACCGTGTCAAGACTTCCACCTTGCACGCTTTCTCAGTGGCTCTTGCATGACCTTAGCTTACTCACCGTCCAGCAAGGGCGTTGAATGACCACGGGCTGCTGGAGCTACGGCTCGATCCTGCTGCTTTTCCGGAAGCCTGCAGCCACGGACTGCGGACCATATATGATGCAGGATGATGCAGGGCTGCCACACCCCCCCCTCCCCCCACCCATGGTATCTACCCTCCCCCCTTTACAACCACAGGCACTGTTTTCGATGTGAGAATCCCCACTT